CGCTGCAAACCGATCGGGTAAGACAGACTAGCCATATGATCTGCTGCGAAATTAATCTCCCTATGCACATGTTGTATCCTAACACTCCAATCCCACCGGACCAAACTACGAATGACTGAGACTATCGTCGCATGAGCCCCGAGATTGTCCCCGATTCCAAAGGTCAGCCGAGTGACACATTTGCTATCCACCTCGACAATAATATGACAAAATTCCCAATCCCAAGCCATCTATAAGCCTTGCAGAAGGCCCCACAACTCGGTCTCGTAATAGTGCAATATCCAATATTCCTGATAAACCCTTCCATTCATGATAAATCGAGGTCGGAAATAATTTGATTTCTCTTTATAAGATAAAATAACTATGTCTTGTCTTTATGCTAACAAAGAGATTTTTAAATAAAGTAATAATATATTCCTTTTATATTAATAAATCTATATGCATATAGATTCGGATAAAAAGTAAAATACAATGAGAGAGCCACTTACTTTGGGTGGGGGTACTGTATCAATATGTGTTTTTCTATAAATATAAATATTATTATATTAATTGGCTGAATATTTGACTCAAAATTGAATATCAAAAGTCACATTTTATTTATTAATTGTCAAAAAAATGTCATTATCATATTATTCCTTTTATGCTCCTTTTTATTTTTATAGTTGACATGAAATTTTGTGACTTTTCTTTTTTCTCTTTGTATTTTATTTAAATTTTATGAGAAGCCACAATCTGTCACTGAATCAATAGAATGGGAGTTTGAAAACTTGGAGTAGAAAAATTCTTGTAAATTGATTTAATTAAATAGATATCAAGGTGCTACCGACTAAAAAAAAATCGAAAACAATTATCTCATCTAAAAAAGTGAAAAAAAAAATATTTGTTTGAAAGGTTAAATGAAAAGGTACAAATGTGTAACAAAGTGGGTGATTTATTTTTGGTACGAAATGTTCGAATCTAAATAATTTTTGGTACGAAATGTTCGAATCTTAAAAAAACAATATGTGTTGTTAATAATAAATATCTGATTTTGTGGTATAAAGTGGATGATTTATTTTTGGTACGAAATGTTCGAATCTAAATAGTATGAATTTTAATTGGAATTGATAGGAGTATATTTGAAATTATTTAAAACAAAATAAGAGCATTTACAATGCATAAATGTTGTTATCACATAAATTTTGACAAATGTCAATTGTATATATGAATTTTGAACCACATAAGATATTTGTTAAGTTCACAACTTTAAATCTATAAAATTATCTGCGTGCACAATGTGATCAAACATAATATTGTCAATTGGCAAAAATAAAAATAAAATATAAATAAGAAACAAAAAATAAATTAATAATTAGATATTTTGAAAATGGTAATGATATTTCTCTCCCATCTCTCAATTGGTTGATTAGAATGTAAAATATAATGTGAATGAACCACATTCTTATAAAACCAAGGTGATGTGATTCTTAAAATTTAGCATATTCGCATAATAATTTGTCATAATATATTGATGATAATTCGACAAATTGATATATTCCTCTAGAAAATTATAATGATCTTTGAACAAATATTGGTTAATAAAATTTAAAATTAGTACTTTAATTCTACAAATTAATTGATAATTTTGAACGATAAGGTAACTGACAACAAATCTAAAAAACTGTGAGATATATAAAATACATATATATATATATATTATACATGAAATATATAAGAAAGTTTATTTGTGTAGACCAAATTTAGGTTCTAAATTTAAAGATCAAATAAGTAGTTATTCATAACTTATGCTAATATTAACTTGGATGCAAATGAATTAGTCAATTATTTATAGTTTAATAAATTATTCAACTACTTAAATTTTTTAATTTGGACAGGTCATACGAATATAAATTCGTTTTAGTTAATGAAACAATATAAGTTTTATAATTATACGTATTATTCACATAAATTTTTAAATATATGATAAAATTTTACCAAAACATTTATTTTTATTGAATCACATTGTAGTCAAATCAAAATTTTTAATATTTTTTTTTTTAAAATGACATTATTTTGAAATAAATATAATATAATTTATTTATTAGTTAAGTGCATTGTACTAATTTTAAATATACATATTTTATGTAATTTTATACAATTCAAGTTTAGTATAACATTTTTAAAAATTAACATAGGTAAACTGTATTACATATTGATTCAATATTCTTAATTTATAAAATATTATTTAATGCATATTTTTAATTTATAAATATTAATAAATATTCATTATCCGTGCATCGCACGGGGTTCCTATTAGTACTAGTACTAATAATAATAATAATATTAATAAAGTATAATGTGGATTGGGGTCTCCATAATTATTACTTTTTGTCATTAGTAAAAGAAAGAAAAAAAAAATGTGCTATATTATTTTAAGATGAGTCTCATCTACAAAGTCCAGTTGACTATGGCAAAAAAGTGCATTTATGATTGTGACTTTGATATTTCTTGATGTAGACATACATTTTACCTTATAGTAGTGCTAAGACTAAGACAACGGATTTATATATTTTCATCCTTCAATTTCATACTAAAACTATAATGTAAACATTTGTATGATATTTAATGGAATAAATATGCACTTTTAGTAAGAAGTTATTATTGTTTAACGGTTAGACAACATAACAGGAATATTTGCGTTTTGCTAATATCCAAAGAAGTCAATAACCACTTTAAATTTCAATTTGATTTACTGTCCCTCCCCCAGGGCTACGAGAATGGATAGAGCATGATAGTAGAGGGGTGTCGTACCCCCCACAAGTCCTGTCTTAAGCATTTGTCTTCTTTCTTTGTACTAAAAAAAAAAATTCAATTTGATTTCTCATATGGTGTGGACTGTGGAATATACATGGTTTAATTATAAACTATAACCTTGAGGAGCGTAAATATGTGTAACCTGTATGATTTATTATATTCTTTTCAACAAATTTACATACTTTTAAACTGAAATGTCATATTAAAAAAAAAAACATAAACAAAAGTGTGAGCTTTCAAAATATAAGTATGTATTTTCGTAAAAAAAAAAAGTATGACATGTTGACTCGTCTTAAAACGTTTAGAAATTAGAACAAAGAAAAAAAGGAAAGAAAAAATATGAGGTGGCATTTACTAATTTAATATAATTTTTGTGAAAAAATAATCATTTTAAATAAATAATCAATTATAAAATACTAATAAAAAATATCGGAGCAAACTAAAATTAATTTTACTTGTACCTGAGATAAAAGACCGTCAAAGTGTGGTTGACTGCACCAGTATTATAAAATAAAAAACAAAATTAAACTGAATAAAAGTAAATGAAATAATCAGTGACCAATCAATCAAATCACTTTTCAAAAAAGCATGAGATTCGGGTCTACCACTTGATGTTCATAGTGGTGGCCAGCCAACGGGCAAAGGCCCGGCCCGGCCTGCCAGGCCACAGGCCTTCCAACACCTGGCTCGCGACCGGTCCGCTAAGAATCAAGGGCCGGTTCTATAAATCGGCCTGAACCGCCAGTTCACTGACCCAGCTGTTCACGGGTCGGGACGACCCTTAAAAAATAAAAAATTTTAACAATGTGGCACGTCGTCCAACCCGGCCCGGCTCGGACCGGCGGGACCAAAGTACAAAAAATGAAATCACGACCGAACCGCGACCTTACGGGTCCGGTTTACCGAACCGGCCCTTAGGATTCCTGGTTCGTGCTAGGCCGGTGCGGTTCGCGGGCCGATTCGGCCCGTGGACATGTCTAGATGTTCACCCTAAGTTGACTATTTAGCGTTGACTATGGTTGTTGACTCTTTGTTGACGCTGTCTTGTCGGGCCACGTGTGGGCTTTTGAGGATCTATGTTTAATAATGGGCTTGAAATAATAGTTTGCCGTAGTTAAGCAGTAGATGGAGTGGAAACAAAATTCATGGGCTTAATTCTCAAGCCCAAATGATCTATATATTGAACCAAATTTCACCTATAAATTTAATTTTTATTTATATATCTACATTTTTTTTTTCAAATTACAATTACATTAACTTTCACAGTTTATTAACAATTTAATTTTTTTATTACAATAATAATTTTTTAATTTGGCTTTTTTTATTTTATCTATTAAATATCATTTTTTAAAAATGTTTCATGGCTGAACTGAGAACAAGGAAGGAGAATAGCAAATGACAAATCTCTGGAAAATCAAATACTAAAGCTGTACATGAATAAATGTTTTATTTTAAGGTCTAAAATCTAAAACCAGCTGAACTAAAAATGTTATTATCCATCATAAAATGTCGATCGGTCACCTGAATCCTGTTTGATCGAACGGCTCCCAGCTGCTCAAGAATTACAAAGAAAAGAAAAGAAAAGAAAAATCCATCCAACAGAACATTGGAAAACAACATCAGGAGACTTCGGCTTAACTGCTAAAAGTTGTCGAAATATTCCAAAGGTATTGATGGAGGGCAGTACTTCTTCGCGACGAATTTGTACTGTTTCGAACGAAGAGAAGAAAGTTGTTTTGATCTTAGCTATACATTGAAAAACCCAAGATCTTATAGAATAAATAGACAGAAACATTTTATTATATATATAGATCATATATACCTTGTGCTGACTGTACTTCTCCCTAACTGCAGGCAAACTAGAATTATGGTTATTACAGCATAGCCCGTGTAATGCCATCACACAATCTCGTAAATCATGCGGCTGGTAAAGTGTGTAATGATGCAAAGTCGAATTCTGCATTTTATATTAAACACGATATTAAGTTAGAAAAAACCGAAAAAGAGAAATGCAAAAAAAAAAAAAATGAAGTAAAATAAATATCACATGATATTATACATACCCAGGGCTTTTTGGCAGGTAAAAGAATGAACTTGGCCAAGAAAATCGATGAAGCTGCTATAATCGATGGTGCATAACATAGCAAATTGTACTCGAGTAGAGATAACTCGGCAATGTAGTTCGCCAAGCACTCCAATTGCAGTAAAGGAGCCTAGAAAAATTAGCCATTTTATATAATACTTTTAGACTCGAAATCCCGGAAGATAATAAACATTCAGTTTTTTCTCAATGCCGTGATTGATGCTTTTCATACCTCATTGAGACCTTGTGCGGCACGAACAAACCTCCTGTAAGAAGTTAACTTAACATCTCTTATTTCGAAATTCTGAGATAAATTGGAATAAAGAGAGATACAAATTAACTTAAATTATTACCGCAAGAAACATTTAGCCGTGGGTGCTGTCATTTCGAATTTCAGGTAATTCAATACATCGGACTCCATTTGCAGAACCTTGAAAAATAAAAATCGAACTTCTTTAAGTAAAGAAAGTAGTTACAAAACAAAAGAGAGAAAAATAATGAAAATACCTCGTCTTTGAAATATGTGTTGTCGGTTATGTAGCAGAATTCTTCCACCTGAGGCGCGCAAATCTCTTCATATTTCCTGCAAAGTACGCGCGTTTATGTACTATTAGCCATTATTAGATGCAGTGATAAAGAATAAAACTTCGAAAAAAAAAAACTTACGAGGCAATCATCATGCAAGCCACGCCAAGCAATTGCAATCTTTGTCTATCCATAACATTTCCCGAAAGAAAACGGTCAATGTAGTTAACAGTCAGATACAATGTGTCCGGAACAAGCCTATATTCCTCTGCAACCTGTAATTCCAACTTAATTTAATGTTAATGCTTTTCGAAAAAATATGTAAACAGTAGAACTCCAAAGCGATGGACGATAACATATCAAGTTTTTCACATCGACATGCAAAAGGGAAAAAAGACTTTGCGGAACAAAATTTACCTCAACAAGCCAATCGATGAGAATTGCTCGCATGCTAGCATTAATGTCCTTTTGCACCTTTTCCATGAAGTTAGTAGCTGGCCTTTTCTTTACCTGCAGATAAAAGAACGATACATTAATCAAAGAAAATTACATAAACATAGTTACAGTTAATTATTAACCAATAAAAGGCTACAACACTTCATAATAAGTAATCGAAAAGATAAAAAAATTCAAACCTCGGAAGCTCGTAAGTGCTTGTAGATATCACACGCGATTGTTGCACATAACTGCGGATCATCCATATTCTCATCAACGTCCACAATTCTCTCATCCGATTCTATTGCTGCAAGAAAATCACGCTTGCACATATTTCCTACAAAACATTAACAAACAAATCAGCTTGCAATATTCAAGCTTTTGGACTACAAAGCAAAAGTATATATCGAAGGATTGTGAAGAAGTACAAAAAAACCTGCAACTTCCTCGTTTTTCGATATGCACAGCGAATTGGATGCTTTCCGCTCGATGGAATCAACTGCAGCTAGATCATCGCTATCCATGTATTCGATATTCGGGCTATTAAGGGAATCACAGGTGGAAATAGATTCATCCATAGATACGGACAACGAATCGGATTTATCTACAGAAAGTTCCACACTGTATGAAATCGAGGCTACATTAGGCTTAGAGAGCATAACATCACTCTTTGGTAAAGATGTAGCAGCTCGAACTGTGGCAGCCACATTTTGCTTTACAGTTGAAGTTTGTGGCAGATTAACCGCGTTTTTTGATGCCAAAGTCCCCTTCTTATTGATCGCGATTTTCGTGGAACAGGGCACCTGAAGAATTCGATTTTATTCGAATCAATCATATAATATTCTTTTTTGTCATAGACAGCATATATTGCTATGAACACAGAACTGCCCATTGCCTAAAAATGGCTAAAACTGAAAACGATTTCTTGAAGTCATATTTATACTGCACACAGTGTTTTGTTAGAGATGAAAAGTAGTAACAAGAAGCAAATCATGTTTAAGTAAAAGCAGATTCACCTAGAAAGCAATATATAGAAAAACTTAAGTGTTGAATAGGGTAATCCATCAAAGTTTTGTGTCGATTTTAAGCACATTACGATCAAGATAATCGGCACCCGTGTAAAGAATGATTATGAAATCCAATTCAGTTTTGAGTTGCAACTCCAGAAAATCTAACTGCAGAAGCATCAGAACAACTCAAAAGCCCGTAAAAAAAAAAAATGGTAAATTTTCACCAAGAAATGAATCAAACACGATAAAATCACAAAGATAAAGTAAAGACAATGTAGAAGCATCAGAACACTTTATATCAAATTCAAATGCACACAATTCCGCTGCAACAGAATACGTAAAATGCAGTTGAATTTCACCTAAATTAAAATCAAAACCCCGTAAAAAAACTGATTAATCTTCACCAAGAATTGCATTAAACACAATGAATCACAAACCCAAACCCACAGACGAGCCAAGAAACTTCCAAAATTCACGCCATATCCCTCACGCCACAAAAATCCAAAACAGGGTAAAAGAAACCGCTGATACGAGTCGCAAACGTACAATTTTCGACGACTCCGGAACATGGGCCCGGCCCGAACCCTGAGGAACACCCCCATGCCTCTGATTGGTGATGTTGGCCAGCGCCGGTCGCTTCTTCGCGGCGGCGGCGGCCGCCGCCACCGCCGTCTTCCCGGTATTCTCCGAAACAGAGGCGTGCCTCTTCGCCAGGGACGACGTCGTCGACCTCCTCGCCCCCGCCGTGCTCGCCATTATTTACAAAATCGAAACTCAAAATCGTCTCTTTAACTGAAGAATTGTCTCTACACACAGGGATTTTTATCCGTTTTTTGTTGGGGGGTTTTAATGGCTTGCTTTTGAGAGCGGGCAAAAGTGAGGGAGATGGCGATTTTTGAACTGAGATGCGATCCTGACCGTCCGATCGGATTCGGGTATACGTTAGGAGCGTACAGAGGTGGGGGCCCACGAGAGCTTGTCTGTTTCGAATTGAGATTGTTTTTGCTGTGACGGATAATTTTGTGACGGACCAATGGGGGTTGAGATTGGAGGAATGTGATTGGCTAATAGGAGTATGACGGTAAGGTGACTTTAGAGAGAGGTGCAAATTTTTGAATTCGAAATTTGAAGCGTACTTTTTTTTGGTGTCGTAGGAATAATAATAATGTGGGGGAAATACTATGATCTTTGTTATGCAACCATCTTGTCGGGTGTTTTAACCGTTTATTTGATATTTTATATTAACTACAGGATAATGCTCCTCTATCCACGGTGGTTATATGTTAATATGTCCACGGGTTATGTGACATGCACACATTGGTGATGTTAATATGTTCAAAAAAATAAATCACCAATATGTGCATGCCACATAAGCGGTAGACATATTAACATGTGCCCACCGTGGGTAGGTGAGCATTACTGATTAACTACATGTGTATCCAATCGTTACAACTCTGGACGGGATATTTTCATAACGAGATCGTAGCATTTCCCAATAATGTGTATGTATTGCATAGGGGAAAGAAGATTTTTTTTTTTTTCACTTACTCCAAACGAGGCCTTAAAAATAATACAATAATGTGACAAAAATATGAAATTGCTATTGCATGAAAAGGACAATATGAAATTTTATTAGCATATATAAGTGATTGATTGGTTAAATTATAGTGTAAAAATCAAATTTTGAATTCAATCAAGCTAGTGTTTGGGCATTTCCTTCATTAATCATTTAATGTTTATACAACACGGGTTATTATTTTTGTTGAAGTCACATGTGATTTTTTTTTTTTTTTTTAAAAAAAAAACTCGAACATTATATAATAACGAGAGTCACACTACATTGATTTGCGAAACAAGTTTATGAAAATATGACAAAAATATATTATTTTTTTTCACTATGGTATTACCAAAATTATTGGTCCAAATTTTTGCAACACAAGATTCGGTAAATTGGATGGTAAACAAATTTGGAAAAATATAGCATGCTAAATTAGAGAATTGAGTCACATTTAAATGTTTGACCAATCAAATTCGTTATGGTTAGCTAACGAACGTGTTGATTAGCGTTTTAGACCCAATTGCTAATTTTAAAAAAAAGCTAAAAAAATTAGAGAGAATATTCAAAAATATAAAATATAACGTAAGTATTCTATATTTCTGTTATTTGTCAAATGCTTATTTAAGAAATCGCTAATAAAAATTGCTAGTCAAACAAGCTAATGAAACCCCATTAATCCTATCAACTAAATATCAAACAAACCCAATTAAACGAGCCAATCTCGGGCTCGATTTTTGGCTCATTTATTTAACAAGCGGAGTTCGGCTCGACTCGTTAAGCGCTCGAGCTCGAGCATCTTAAGCTGGAGCCGATTCGGCTCGTTTGTAGGACTAACCCAAGTTAAATGAAATCTGATGACTTCTGAAATCCTGTACACAATTAACAACTCCCAATTAAAATTAGTTGAAAGAAATTTATTGACACATTAATATTCTTTAATATGGGTTCTTTGAAATTTATAGTCATGAATCCCGACACTTATCGTGGTTAAAAAATATTGAATCGAATTCGAAATGCTGAAATTGAACTTACCCATTTATCAGTTTTCGAATTGTGTATATTTAGGGTGTCTCCAATGGTTAGCTATTTGACTATCTATTATGACGTGGACAGGGGAAAAGTAAGAGAGAGATTAGTCACTAGCTACTAACAAATAGCTTATCTATTTCACGTAGCCCAATATTATGTGAGAGGAGTATGTGGGTCCAATAGTGTAAAATAATTATTTTTCTTATCTCTCACATCCATGTCAGCTGACTATATAGCTAGTAATAACTATTACCATTGGAGATGCCCTTAAATATGCTAGATCACTTACAAAAGAATTGGAGATTACGTCCGATTCTGACGTGGCTTAGTCCTATAAACGAGCCGAATCGGCTCCAGCTTAAGATGCTCGAGCTCGAACCCTTAACGAGCTGAGGAGCTCCGCTTGTTAAATAAATGAGACAAAAATCGAGTCCGAGATTGGCTCGTTTATCACTATTAACGAGTCGAGTTCGAACCTTAACGAGCCGTTCTCGAATTTTGACAATCCAAACTATAAAAATATTTTTGAGTTTTATCGAGCCGAGCTCGAGCTTCAAATAAGCGAGCTAGACTCATTATGACCTCGAGATCAAGACGAGCCGAGCCCACCTCGTTTAATTTAACAACACTATTGACCACAATTACTGACGGTAAAAAGGAAAGGGCAACGCTATATTTGGTTGACAATCAGTTAAAATTTTCATTTACAACCATCCACATCGTAATTGTACAAAAGAATTGTATAAGAAAGCTTTTTTTCAAATCAAGTGTCATTCAATTGGTTCCAACGTGTATGAGTGTAAACAAGCCAAATTAAAAAAAAAAAAAAAAAAATTATGTAAAAAATAATATTCTCGATTCTTATCAAGGTCAAGCTCAATTTCAAGTTTGACTTGTTTATCAAACGAGTCAAAACCGAGTCAAACCGAGCATGGCTCACAAGCAGCTCAGCTCGTTTCATTTAACAGCTCCACTGTACATCTCAAGAATACACTCTTCCCTACTAAAACACCACTTGTTCTCATTCACCAATTTCATCAATGCCTTAGCAACAAAAATCAGTAGCAGAGATACATTTTCTAAACCCAAATTTGCTCCCTTCAAACAAATCAATCCAAACAGCCCTCTTTATAATCAAAACGTCTTTTGCCCTCTCACACTCATCCTATAAACGGGATTTTTCGTCCTGGTCACGGGCCTAAGCATCGGGCAGGCTGTGAGTTCGAAGGAGGGTTGAAATTTGAATTAGATGCTGATGCTGATGGTTGCATGGCCGAAAGAGGGAATCTTGGGCCGGGCCTAAAGATTCCCTGTTGGTGGTGCATGTTCGTATGCATGTGGACTTGCTGCTGGCTGCTGCTGTTCCCTGGCGTTAGCAGGCCGGCGCTCGGTGGGCCCATGGGCCAGGATGCTCCTCCGGGCACGAATTGGGCCGAGGACATGAGGGCCCGCTCGGAAGCAATTCTCTGCCTTGTTCTCTCCATCTGTTCGCATTCTCGCATTAGCAGCGTCTCGATTTCGGCAAACTGTTTTAGCTTCAACTCCAATCTCTTCAGCTGGAGAGAGGAATTATACGTTAAAAGGCTGAGAATTTTGATTTTAGTGAAGTATTTTACGCGAAAATGTTTCATAAATGTTATGGAAATTGTCAAATTCAGAATTCTTTTTATTATTTTGAAAGAAAATTACGAAGTATTCATGATATTGTTCAGTATCACTATCATATGAAAATATGTTTCCCCTGGATGATTTAAGATTTGTTGCGACAAAAGTTTTACTAATATACAGTACAAAAGTTGCAATCCAAAAATTCAAGCTAAAAATCTAAAGAATAACCAAACACCACCAAATTTTGGAAATTTCAATTCCAGTTATCAGCTTCCAAAATCACAAACAAGTCATTATGATTTGAATTAAGGTCGAAATCAAGGGGCTTATGAGTAATTTCGAATGTTAGCGGTTTTCGTTCTTCCATTAGATCAAACCTCAAGTGGACCTTCTGTAATTTTAACCGAATAAACATAGAATATCCTCTATTCACCAATTTCTTCTGTACCTGTTTGGCTAACATATTTCATGTATACAACCTATTATAAAAACACAAGAACATCAACATCAACATCATCAACATCAACATACCCAGTATATTCCCAACAGGTTGGGGTCTGGGGGTCAATTGTACGCAAACCTTACCCTTGTAATTATACAAGGAGGCTGTTTCCATAGCGACTCAAGGTGCGTTGCGTCGTTTGATATATTTTTTCTAGAAACTTCACTAATAGAAGAAGCACTAGAATTTAATTGAGCCATTTTGATCTAGTCCATTATTAGCACTATGCCAGGAGAATTGTCAACAATGACTCTTCCAGCTCCATATGCAATGGACATAAAAACACAAGAACAAATCGGTTGAATTTCAGTTTAGATTTACCCAAAAAAAAAAGTACCTGATGATTTACGATATTAGCAGATAACCTCTGGATTTCACGCTCTTCGTGATCGGCAAAAAGCTTTGCCTTCACAGCAGCAGCTGCAAGACCATCTTTTGCAGCCGCCTTCACTTTTTCAGCAGATAAACTAACAGTCTGCTCGTCATTTTGGCTTCCGGAACCTTCAAAGGTATTACTCGGAACATAAATAGACAGAATCATAATAAAATGACCAAAAAAAGAAAAAAAATATGTGAAGTACCTTTATTATTAGAATTCGTAATCTCGCCACGTGGGTTCCCTTCCTTACTGTCATCTTTGCATAACGATGCTAAAGATGTATGAGCACATGCAGCAGCAACTCTTGGCCCGAGTGTAGAAGCAAGAAATGCTACCTACAATATTAGAATAAATTTCCATTTAAAAATACGTTTTTTTTAAATTTTTATCCAGAAATTGCGCGTGAATTTATTTGCGAAAAGGTAAGTTGTAATGTATTTGGTAAACAATATAAGCTAGCTTGTAGCTTATTTTGTTAGCTTATCATCAATCATCAACATCATCAACATACCCAGTATATAAGCTTTTTTATACAAATAAGTTTGGTTTGGTAGGACGAGTTTTTCTAAAAGCTCGAGCTTATTTCATAAAATTGGGTAGCTTTTCAAATAAGCTCGTTGAAATTTTTATTTCAGCTGAACATATCAGCTAGTTTTTCAGCCATAAGCCGTAAACTATCATAAATTTGAACTAGAAATTCACTTATAAGCTATTAGCTAACTTATAGCTTATAGCTAGTTTTATCAAACATAAACAAGTGGAAGGCATGACGCTAGATTCAAGATTCTACCAGATTCATCACAGGATTTTCGGATTTCGCAAAAGGAAATTTGCTTTCCAGATCATCTGATTGCTCGCCAAACCCTGCATTACAGTCGAAATCCAAACATACAACTCATCATACTTCACCAACGTGAACACAAGGAAAAAAAAAACAAAGAGAAAAAATTGCAATTTTAGCCGTTTTACTACCCTAACTTTTCCGTCCCGTTTTGATTTTCGTACCTTATGTTTGCAAAAAAGGGAAAAAAAGGTCCTCAACCATACATCATACATAAGAAACGAAATTGCAACATTTTTTGCAAATTCGAAAGGGGACCTTTTTGCTACGAAAAGGACTTTTTTTTACGAAATTCAAAACAACAATTCAAAAGGAATCAAAAAGTTATGGTTGATAACATCCAAAACTAAAATTTTTATTTTTTTGTTAAAGAAAAAAATGGCTCTAATAAGATAAAACCAACCGTTGGAATTCGATTCGCATCTCTCGTGACCATCATCTTGGCCCAACAAGTTGGATGACCCGGATGTACTTTCAACATCGATATTCTCCAACGAAGCACCATCCAAAGGCAGTTGTACAAAATGCACAATGCATTGTGCTTTCGATTTCGAGCCTACATGCTCTGCAATTTTATTCCAGTTATCGTTGTGCAATTGCAATCCTTCTAGCAGCAGTAAAGTCTCCTGGTCAGTCCAACTATCCCCATCTGCATCTCCATAATCGCTCATGGAGTTAATTTTGGAAAAGTCGAGGCTAGAATGGCCCGCAACAAATCTTCCCTCGTTATAGCAATCCAGGCACAACACAACATCAACCTATCAAAGAAAATGATTATGCACAAAATAAAATTAACAGAAAATATTAAGTCATTCAGCAGCCATGACATAATTTTGATCTGTACATGTATTTTCTAGGAATCAAAAACCATGATGTAGTAGTTAACTTTTACCAATAATTTTTGGAGCTTTCTGCAGAGTCGAAAATAAAGACAAGATATCAACAAATACCACCGCCTTAATTTGCTATGTGAAGCTAATACTGCTTCCACTCTAAATTTTGCAATCAACACGCATAAGAAACTTGTCATGTGATTATATATTAAAAAAAATTTGCTGCTCCAATTTTTGTCATGAAAATTCTAAAGAGTGGTTCATTAGCTTTTTTCATAATTTTCCAAAAAAGAAAAATCTTCACGTGCTCGTAGCCAATCTTTCTCCATTTGACTCGGTGGTAGCCAATGACACTTTTTTTTCTATTTCTTTTTTGTTTTCGTTTTGTTTTAACACTATCATCATAGTTCTCTGCTAGTAATCTGAGTGTTTATTTTTTATCTACAAAATTAATTAGAATACAATCCACAACAATTAAGCTATATGGTTTTCGATTTGAATCATTTTGCAAGCGAAGTAAAAATAAAAAGTTGTGATTTTATTTGCAAATTTGAGAGAAGTCATGATTATTAACCAAATGAAGTATTTCCAAAGCATATTTTATTTTAACTAAATCACCTAAGAACCGTCGAGCACCGGCCACATCAGTTTCTTGTCACTGAAAGACGATGATCGTAAATAGTTTTGAAAAATATCAAAGGTTGAGATATTCGTAACAATTTAAAAAATAAAAAATTAACCAATTTCGACAAAAGTCGTGATATTAGATGCTATTAGGCATCATATAAAGTATGCACATCTGCACTATACTGATTATGACAATATGATGAAAATTTGACTCCATGGGAAGAATTTAAGTCATAGGACTCCAACTCTAGCATGCTCTTACACACAAAAGGAATGATTTCATTTTTTTTTTAATATTATAATGTGGACAAAGCTAATCAGTCCCAGGTATCACTGCATGCATAACAAAGCAAATATTAATGCGAAAACATTCACAAAACATTCATAGTTCATAAGCATAAGCCATGAATCCAGTAAAAAAATATGCCGTAAAACATGAAAAAATGCTGCATTCGAAAGCAATCTGAAACTTCGAAATAAACCCATTTTAATTACCTCTTTCTGAGACTGATAGAACATCGTGGGAATACGCCGAGCACAAAAACGGCACTCATGTTCAGACAATTTCTCTCTGATAGTAAAGTCAAAGTCAGTGTCCGGTTCACTTCTGCATGCAAGTTCTGGATAAGCTTCGCAAGCCTTAAGCCTGCACTTGGGCTTTTCAAACTGGATTAAACTGTCGATAGATTTCAAAGCAGTAGAGGGCACGCAGAGTTCTCCATTAGCATCCTCACATAAATATGTCCCTTCCTTATGGGCCTCGTGCTTAAGAGGATTCGCACAGTAGTTGATAATTCCCCAGTGATCAAGAAAACGTATGATTCGGGCTAAATCGTTGGTATCTATACCAGAAACTAGTTCGTGGCAATCGGCAATAGTTAAGTGCTTTTCTGGGTTTTCCATGTACTTTGCAACGATGAGATTGCGATTTTCCACGTATTTTTCCGGGGTGTGCTCGATAGAATTTCCGGAGAAAAAGTGTGGGACCACTTGTCTCTCCAATCTATGCACGGAATTCGGCAAGAACCATTCTGCGCAAATAAACAGTTGGAATACATAACAACTGGTGAAAGAATAAAAACTTATTCGACTGTAACTTGAATATATTGCATATGGAAATAAAAACAATGTAGAAAAACAGATTTTAAACAGTAAATAATAGGCAAACCATTCAAAGTGCTGGGGTTTCCACACAACATTTCGGCTTTCCCAAAAAAAATTTCAACAACATGAGATTGCGAACATAGTTTGAAAAGGATAAGGAAAATTTAGTTTCCTTGAGCTCACATCTTACACTTTTTCGATTTACTACTTAAAAAGTACCATACCATACTGAGTTGAGTCATTATCCTTGAATACATGAACTAAAGTGAACATGCAAAATTCTATACACAAATTCAAGAGTAACATCAAAGCTATATACATCTCAATTAGTCGTTGGCGTTTCAATAAGGGAATAAGAAAACATTATGCTTGGATACAAAATTTTTCCAAAATAAATTCAATCATTTTTAACCCACTTTTTTTTTTTCAAATTTAACTCAACATTAACTCTAGCACCCTCAATATTATCAATATAATTAAATAATACACTCAATCATTATTACACATTACATCAACTTTAATTCACTATTCATCCACTCACATAATTTTAATTAACAATCACTTCACATCATCTTTCTCCTACTTTTACATCAAATCAACTTTAATTATCTTATTTTAAATATTATTTTACATAAACTTAAAATATCACTAACAACTAACCATACCATTTTTTTTAAAAAAAAAAATTAACCATACCAAACCAGAAAACCCAAAACAAAAATCAAACATTTTGTATCCAAGCATCCCCTTTAACAACCACAATAAATCAGAAAACACTAAAATGGGACAATGCAGAAGCACAACCTGAATGTACTGGCACGATATGGACACGACCCGCACTCCCGAGCCGTTTAGAAACACCACTGCCCGCAACTATCTTAGGTGGCGCGATGACTACTGACCCGTTTTCAGTCTCATCCAAAAAGACCCCCAACAAAGCACTGCTGTCACGAGGCACAGCAGAGAGTGCCTGCAGCTGCCCATAGGAAATATTTTCCAAAACGGGCACGCCAGGTTGTCCTTGCCCTCCGTTTTCTCCATTCCTTGCAGCCCTCTCGGTCTCAACAATTCGGAAGACAGACGAGTGAGCCCTATTCACCACCCTTTTGACCGCAATTGGGAACTCACAAATTCTCAGCCCGCCATCGGCTAGATTTTCTCTCTCTTTCTCTCGGGAAATCTGGTTTACTTTGTGTGGAACATCTTCAGTTTCTAGATGGTTCTGTGGTGGGTCCAGATCAGGGTCTTCCTCATCCTCATTTTCCTCGAGCGTGTCATCATTATTCTCGAGTTCTTTCAGCTTGGATTTACGTGCAGCCCGTTGCTCCCTTTTCCGCTTTCTCCACCTTGCCCTTGCCTCTGAACAACACAAAAAAGAAAAGAAAAAAAACAAGGAATAAAAATCACAAAAGGAATCAGATTATGATTCAAACCATCCTAGTTCAAATTTCGAAGCAAATTAATTTCCCAACCCGCTCCACAGATTACGGTTCGTAAAACATTTGGAACATAAATCGTCACCGACTCTAATCAGAGCAAATTGATTCGCAACAATCCTTATTCAATTAATCGTTACATCTGTCATCTATAAAGCGAAAGAACACAACTTTGAGTTAAATTTAGCAAAGGGAAACGATTTCTGACAAGAATACATAAAGAGAGACAACGCGAACAAAAGCCGAAGCTTCAAATTTACAAAAGGCCCCGCCAGTTACAAACCCACGAAACTCTCCTAAAAAAAACAACCCAAACACCTCCAATTTATCTCACAAACGGGCAGCTCGCACTAAAGATTTTTTCAGCTGAATCTCACAACAAGCTCTTTCATTTTTACCAGCCCATGAACTGAAAAATGGCCCCAAATCTCGAGCTTCGATTCAAACAAACAAACAAAAGAAAAGACACAATCTTTAAACACACGAACACATATAGAACACATATGCGCGCGAACAGACGGAAAATGAAACAAAATAAAATAATAGATAACTACAATATTAAGGGTTTTGGGGTACCTGATGAGGAAGCTGGCATAGCTGAAAAAGGGGGAAAATCAAGAGAGATTTATGGACGTTTGCGGGGTTTAAGGGGTTAGGGGAGGAGAGAATTTGTGGGGCCTTGAGATGGAGTGAGAGTTGGGATTGTGTCTCTTTGTGTGTGTGAGTGTGTGAGAGAGAAAGGTGAGGGTGGTGGTACGAGGACGAGGAAAGGGGAAGAGCAGCTTCTTCTATATTGGGGTATTTACTCTGGTGTGTGTGAGCTGCTGAAATTTCACAGCTTGGGTGAAAAACTGAAAAATGGTGATATTAGTGTTTGGTCCCTCAAGTTATGATGAATTAAAATTTGTTGCCCATATTTCAAGGCTATTATTTATTTTGCAGATTTTTTTAGATTGTGTGAGAGTTTTCGTGCTTGAATAAATTTTCGTGAGTCATAGCAATAAAAGCTAATCAATACAAAAAATTGAATTTTGATAATTGCATAAGAATGGTTAATATAATTAAGGGAGATGCTACGGTCTCGTTACGGAATCATTCTGTCAGTATTTGTAAGTGTTAGATCAACTATCCCGACAATTAGATGATGATCTAACAGTTACAAACATCGATTGAATTGTTCTGTAACGAGACCGTAACGTTTCTCATTAATTAAATACCAATTATATTTATCCATATAAAAGTGGACTATATCATTAATGAAAAAATAAAAAAAGAAATATCACTCATTTCTCTCATATAATTATTGAAACAAACCATTAGTATTATTTAAGTACAATGTTAATTTTAACTCCGTTGTCATAGTTAATACTTATACTAACTAATTACAAATTCACAACAAGTTGTATAAAGAAGTTATGTAGCTGTAACAAAATTATTGTAAAATATCAGTAATGCTCACCTACTTACGGTGGGCATTATCATTTAAACTACTTATTCTATAATTAATATTTTCTTTATCTAATTAAGCAATATTTCTTTAATACTAACTGCTATTCTTTTTAAATGTTATTTTGGCATTTTTAACTATTAACAAAATAAATGTCGTTTGGATATTTTGTACATATTTTTCCATTATTACATTCATCTAGTTAATAAATACACTATGTCTTTTCATATTCACTATTCATCTTTTCTCAAAATATTCATATTTATCCTCATTAATGAGAGTTATTATCGGCAAAAAAATATTCTTAATAACTATGCAACTTCTTAAACGACACTCATTATGAATAGGAGGGAGTATTATATAATTGGTTGTTACGACATAGTCTACCCCTTGAAAACTACATAATCAACTGATATATAAAAAATAATTACTACTAATAATAATTTATTATTGGGATAACTAATTTATCGTAATTCTTCAAAATTAAAAAAGAAAATATATTATCCATTGTATATTTATATCATGATGTTATGCAACGAAATTAACATAGTTTTTTTTTGTTTTTTTTTTTTGTTTTTTTGTATATTTGTGTATTTTAATTCGGATAATATGAGTTCTATAAAAAGAATTTAGTTCAAGTGCTTTACAAATGGACCATTTAACCCTATTTATAGAACATTGAAAACAATACTCATAGCTTCTTCAAAGAAGTCCATATGCCAAGCTCGACCTCTTTTCGGTTTTGTTGCCGAAGCGAGTTCGATTATGAAGATAAAGTATCAACTGGCTCAATTTAAATATAGTTCTGATCGTCTCTATTTTAAAGCATGTCATTCTTGTATTGACTTTTTAAAGTTCGATAACAAGAAAATCAAATCACATTGATGAAAGTTAAATAAACACAAACTAAAATAAATATAAGAAGCCAAGCGTATGTAATTAATATAAGTAGTACAACTCGGATGTGATTTTAAATTTTCAGGAGTATTACATGTCACATGTTCTAAGCTAAATATAATTTAATTAGATGTATACATCAATACATGATCAATACATGGACGAATTAACAAAAAAAAAAATTCACATTTTGTTCACAAATCATGTATAATACTTTTGTAAAATAATATAATTGAGTCATGCATTAATTCATAATTTCCTATATTTTATAAAATTAATAATTATTAAAAATGGTATATGTGATGTGTTTTAAAAAACTGTCAATACATCTTATGGCCCCAAAAAAAAA